TCTTGTGCTGTTATTCTCTTCTCCTCAACACTTCTTCCCATCTCACTTCCATCTCACTCTCTCTTCCTTCTCTTGCCAAACAAAACCTTAACCCCGACTCTCCTTCATCGCTCTCAACCACATGCCAACCATCTCAAATCCCATTCATCGCTCTCAACCACAAGCTGACCCTCTCGACAGTTACTATAAAAACCCAACTCAATGTCTGCAATCAAACTTCCCTCAACAGTCTCCTCTGTCACTCTCTTTGATCAACCATTGACATTCTCGATTGACTAACCTCCTTGCTCCAATACTGTTTGACTACTCCCTCAACATCTTCCTCACAACTCCACTCTTCCACCATTCCTCTCAACTTCGCACTTTGGCTCCGTTTCTTCTCTTCTCTCTTCCTCTACTTTCTCTCCCTTCTATCACTCCTTGCTCACTCGCGCCAACGTCAACTACACATTGTCTCATCCTCAACTCAGCGCTTTCTCCTCTTAATTCCTCCGACTCTCTCTCTCGATCTTCTCACTTGGCTTTTGCCAATTTGGTGAGAAAAAAAGTCTCTCATTGAATTCTCTTATCAAAAAACTTTGATTAACCTTTCTCGTCTCTATTTTCTCTCACAACTCAGTGTCTACTACCTGTCATTGTTTGACCTTGTATTCTTCAGTCTTTCTACTCTGTCTAATTCAAAAATAAACTATCATCATGGTAAATCTCTTATTCATTTTTGTCATGTTTTCTTGTTTCTTTTCTATCTAAATTAAAATTGTTTTTCTAACACTTGTTTTATGTCTTTGAAGTTCTGGTTCTAGTATCAATTATATTTCCTGTTTTTCATCACGATTAACAGTCGAAATCAAATTCGAACAAAAAACCTCAAATCCTACCTCCATCCATGACCACTCCGGCATTGAACAAAACCAATATCAAAAGCTCAAAAACCCTCAACCAGAACACCTCACAGAATACAGAAAGCACGATGGAAAAGATAAACTCTACCATCCTGAAGACGGCTCTAGAAGCCATCCCCAAACTGACCGCTGATAACTACACCTTGTGGAAAAATCTCGTCAATAACATGCTCGACATTCAAAATCTTTGAGAAGCACTCACTTCGGAGAACGGAACTCTTTCAGACACTCAAGATGTTCAACTCCGAACTATTATCACCTCTAAAATCGATTCATCGATTCATCCCAACGTCATCACTCATGAGAATGCAAAGAAGGCTCGCGAGATCTGGAAATCCATCACCAGTTATTTTGCATCGACTCAACCGGCCAATCGAGCTCAAGTGTTCAACGAGCTCTTGGATCTTAGCTTCAATCAATCAGACATTCAAGGATTCATCACCACTGTCAGATCGATCAACTCCCGGCTGTTCGAAATCGGAATCGACATCCCTCAGGATCTCATCACCTACATCCTCCTTAAAAAGCTTCCGCCTTCTCTCTCGAATGTCAGTCAACAAATCACGCATTCCGACAAAAGTCTCACTACGGATCTTGTCCTGGATCATCTCAAGTTATACAGCAACGATCAGTCAGCGATCGCCAATCGTGGTTCAGGATCAAGATCTGATCCGATAGCCTTGTTCTCGGATGCTTCAAAAAAATGCAAGAAAACGGCCCACAACGTTCTCTCGAACCATCCAGAAGCAAAATGCTGGATGTTGTATCCCCATCTCAGACCGGCCCATGAAAACAAATTCAACCGATCAGAATCAACGGTCAGCAGTTTTCACTCGTCTTTTTCTCAATCTTCATCATCTCAATTCGTCTTAGACTCTGGTTCATCTGCTCATATGGTATCGAATATTGACTTGTTCTTTGCTCTTGATCATAAAGAAGAAGGACTAGTTCATACGAGTTCAGGGAAAGATTCACTGTCAATTAAAGGATCGGGATCAATCAAGCTTGTCAATGAGTTCAGAACAATTATTCTTCATCATGTACTCTTTGTTCCAAATCTAGTTGTCAATTTGCTCTCTGTTCAATGTTTGGTACTTGAAAATTATCTTGTTGAATTTGAAAAATATTCCTTCTCAATATTTAAGCATGGTGAAATAAAAATGAAAGGACATTATATCTGCAATTTGCCCAGTTTGAACTTCACAAACATCAAACATCAATCTCATTTCACATTGGCTGAAAGTCTTCACAGATCATTAGGGCATGTGAGCTATCATCGACTCAGACACAAGCTGGGTATTCTTTTGAAAAATGAAAAAAATATGTGAAGCATGTTCTCTAGCAAAAATCACTAGAGCATCCTTCAAATCAACTCATCCTCCTGCCACAAAACCGTTTGAAGAAATCCATCTGGATCTGATAGTACCAATCTCTCCTCGCTCTCGCGAAGGAGACAAATATATTCTCACTGTTGTGGACAGTAACACAAGGTTCTGTTCCGCCATTCCTATCAAGTCTAAGAGTGATGTAGCCAGAGTGTTATCGGACTCTTTAGATCTTGAAGCTAAACGATTCGGATATTATCCGTCTGTGATGCACTCAGATAGGGGGACCAAATTCTTAAACTCTACTCTGAAGGAGTTCTGCAAGAAACATCTCATTTGCTCTTGGACTTCCAATCCCTACACTCCGCAACAGAACGGTCTAGCAGAACGACATAACAGGACAATCCTAGAGTCTCTGAGAACGATCTTGAAGGATTTGGAATTTCCTCATCAATTCTGGAGCGACATCGTCAAGGTCAGCACTCTCACTTTGAATCAAATACCGTCTCATAAAAGCAAGAAATCTCCTTTTGAATTATTCAAGAATCACTCAATTCCAATTGATTTATTTCATCCTATCGGAAATAGGGTTTCTTATCTCATTCTGCCACTGAAGACCACCTCAAAACTCATGCCAAAAGGGGAACTCGGGACTCTCATTGGTTACAACGATGAAATTCAATCTTACAAGATACTAAGCGACAATGGAAAAATTGTTGAAACTAAGAGTGTCCAATTTCTTGATCAAATGAAGACTCCGGATGACTCTGAAAGTGAATCTTTTGAAATCATCAAAGAAGACATTCAAGATGACATCAAGCTAACAGAAGAAGATCATGATTCTGAAGATGAAGAACTACAGACTGAAAAAACTACTCAACCGATTGAAATCGACTCTGACTCCAGTACCGACTCATCATCAGAATCAAGCGACAAAAGTGACTGTGACGTCAAAGAAGGTCTAATCCCAAGAACGGAATCGCCTCGCAAACTTCGAAATTGTACCTCAAACGTCAAACCAGTAAAGTACTCTCACTTGACAACCAATCCCTCATCATTTAAGAAAGCAATGATCTCGCCTGACAAAGACAAATGGACGGCAGCTGCAGATGAAGAGCTGAATAACATAGAAGGTCATGAAGTCTGGGAAGACATGTGAAAACGACCGGATTCATTTCTTCACACTCTCTGGATCTTCAAGACAAAGCCTGCAACTCTCTCATCAAATGAACGTAAGAAGGCTCGGTTGTGTATTCAAGGTTTTGCGCAACTTCCTGAAGAATGCGGCAACACCTTTGCTCCAACCGGAAAATTCACGACCCTTTTGATGCTTCTCATGTTTGCTGTTGACAAAAAGCTTCCACTTTGACAGTTTGATGTTAAAGGTGCATTTCTGTATGCTCCATTAAAAGAAGAAGTCTACATTAAGACCCCTGAAGGATCAACTCGAAAATCTCCTTACCTCAAGCTGAACAAATCATTGTATGGACTCAAACAAGCCCCCGCTAACTGGTACAACACCCTAACTCAATGGTTTGAATCTATCAACTACCAGCAATCTACTTCTGATCCGTGTCTCTTCATCCATGAAGACTGAAACTCATTCATATTCTTCCATGTGGACGACCTAATAGTGGTCGGAAACGCAGGGCATTTCGACGTGCACTTTATTATTCGGTTCGCAACTCCACCTGCTCCATGATCCCGACTCTCTT